GGATGTGGTTTTGTGAAGAGCTAGAACAAAGGAATGGCATTGAAAAATAAATCTCTATTTGCAAGATCACACAGGAGAAACATCTGTTTAAATCCTTAATAACAGACTGCAGGACTACCACATATGAACCTCTCAATTAAAATAAAATCTTACCCTTATTACATTTTTATCAGACTACATCCCTTCTTCACAGAGACAGAAAGCTAATCCCAGCAGTTCCAGACAAGAAATAAAAGTATAGGTGAGACTTTAAGCTGCTTTTATTTGACTATAGCCATTCCCAGACTAGTGGTTACTCATGTGACTGTACTGAAGAAGCAGAACCCAGAGCGGATGCTGCAGCTCTGTGGCATACAACAGGAACAGCATGATGAGAAAGTGTGGGTGCATACTGATGTAGTACACAATCTGTGGTAGACAAAAGTCTATAGCCTATCTTTCTTCAGATTTAAATCAGAAGATGTTTCTGATTTAAGTTACTATTATTGCTTTCCAGTCAAAATACTGCAAGATCAAAATAAATTATGCTCTTTAGTCTCATGATCAAGTGGTACCTGCTTTGGTATCTGTCCAAAGTTGCTTATAAATCCCAGGATAGTGCTCTTAATCAGAGGATCTTTAATGTTGTTGAGGTCCACCTTGTCTCCATAGAAGTAAGGATGATAGGTGTTAACTGCCTCCACTGCAGCTGAACCATGCTGCTTGTGGCCAAAAATAAGATCTATCCAGCGATGAAGGTGTGCACTGACATAGTCACTTTCCAGTGCCTAAAAACCAAATGAAAATTACTTAATTCACCAGACTATATCCACTACAAATGCATTACAACTTTCCAATCCTCTCTAGAGACTTATATTCTCTGCAAGTGACTCTTCACACTCTAAGTTAGTCCATTACCACCATTCTCCCAGCCCTGGCAGTGTTCAAAGTCAGGTTGGATGAGGCCTTGAGCAGCCTGGTCTAGTGGGGAGGTGTCCCTGCCTATGGCAGGAAAGGTTAGGACTAGATGGTCTATCAGGTCATTCCAACCCCTAAAATTCGATGAATCTATGATTCTCAACACATCCTCACAAAATGTGACCAAATAAATCAAAGTGGATCACCATAGGAAATGAAAGAACAGAGTGCAGCATGTTTGACTTAACATACAGAAGCAATATCCTCAGAAACAACACAGGTATGTTCCACAAAGCAAAGTGAAAGCATTCCACAGATTTGGCATGTCCTCTAGCCTCCAGCACATATTAAAGCCTTAGCTATCAGGTCTTCACCAGTACTGTTACTGACACAAGATGGTTTAAATGATGGTTTGTTTAGCTTTTGCTACCACCACTTTAGACAAACCACAGGTGAATTTCTATTTGTAGAAATATACTTCAGCTATGAGTCACACTGAGTAGGCAGAGAATTTTGTTTGAGAAGATGCATACAAAAACAGATTGGAAAGATTTGCCATCCATAGAGGCTGGCGTGTGAGTTAATGGGACCAGAACAATTGCTACTGAAGACTGGGAGAGATACTACAAGTTACTACATCCACCCAAACACGGGCTCTCCAGAAGCTCAGTGTAATCATAGAGGAAATCTTGTGCTTCAAAAACCCAGACAGCAAGGGGACACAAGCTCAGATTGAACTTTTGCCCACCTCCAGGTTAGCCAGTCTTACCCCTGAGGCTTCACCAAGTGCTACTACTCCATCACCTGCCTCACCAAATTTTTGTGCATTCCCAAACTGCCTTGCCCGATGATTCAAGCAGCAGTGTAAAGCATTATTAAAAATACTTCCCTGTCTCCAAATCATTTTACTGTATAATACTCCCTGATGCTCAGTTAAAGGTCTCCCCAGAAGACCATCCCACCCAAAGCACAGCACAAATAAACAAGCTAATGGGATCCAGAACAATGGCTCATTTCACAGAGCAGACAGTTAGCCCAGTGCAGCTGGTGTAAATGACCCAGCCCACAGCTATAATGATCACAGGGCAGCTCGGAGAACAAGCACAGCATACAATCTGTCCCCTGCAAACAACAGGAAAACACTTATGAACAGACTCAGAACTCATCCTTATTAATAAAAGCAGTTAGTCCATGAATTACAAACTGTAAATTTTGCCTGGCGTCACTGCCAGAGCAAAACAAAGCAACCAACAGAGCTGCAACTGTGCAGCCTCTCAGTATTTCACTGAGCACTATGACAAGCCCAGCTAGGGAGGCAGACCTTGCAGTCTAGGGAGGAAGTAAATACACTTCTTTAGTAGACTAGATTCCTAACTTATTAAATATGAAATGGGAACCTACTCAGAGTTTTATGTCAAGAACAATTCTTTGCTCTCATACTCTTTAAAGGAATAGCCAAACCTCAGAACAGTGTCGACCTGGATCTGTTTAATGCACTAAACCCATTGTTAAGCCTCCTAAAAATGGCCACGATACCAGGAACTAGTACCTCCAGCCTTGTGGATGATTTCAGAGTGGACAGAAACTGTTATGTTTCAGAATTCAAGATCTCTAACTCTTCACTTCAGGGTTAGATGAACTTTTCCAGGCAGGCTAATCAACATTCTTTCCACAGCAAGATTTCTTGCACTCTCCTGTGTAAGACCTAGTACTAGCTATGGTTGATGAGGGAATATTGCATTCACTGTCCAGGAGGTCTGGCAAATTATCAAGAACACAAGTCTATAAAAACATGATCTTTCATTTGCTAAGTGTTCCTATTGGAGATTTGAATTAATTTGCTTATCAGCTGTGCCAATGTTATTAAACAGTGCAGCTCAGTGGAAGCAGGTCTGTAGACAAATGGTAGAGAGGGCCCAGTATCCACATTACATGCACTGTAATGGCTTTACTTCCCGCTGGATCTAGTCTGCATCTGGAGTGCACAACTGGAGCACAGCTTTTGTTTCATTTCTTCCAAACCCAAATCTAGTTCACACAATCTGAGATCACTTTACTGTGACAGAAAAACCATGCTATGCAGAGATGACTATAGATTCATTTCCAGACTGCATCCTTACTCCAAAGCACAGAGCAAAAGGTGTTCTCCACTGTATCCAAGTGCCTTTGGAGTGCTCACTGTTACACAAGCAGTAAGGAGCAGAGCTCAGTACTTTAGTCTCCAAACAAGCTACAATAGAAGAGACAGCATTTCTCCCTACAATTTTCTTTAAAAAAACATTAGTGTAAAATTGCAACATTTTTCAGGCATCCATGGATTATTGTGTGCAGCACCTCTGGTACAGAAGGACAGTGTTGACTTTCCCATATCGGGGAAACTGGAGAACAGACATGGAACACTGTTGTGTGTGTACAGAAGATTAAATATTCTGAACATTACTCTTAATCTCTCTTCATTTCAGTTCTTTGGCAAAAACATTCTCTCCTTACCCCCTCAAGCAAATAGGTTGCAAAAAGTCAGGGGGCAGAGTCTGACTGATAAATAGGTTCTGGAGGAAATTCATACACTGAATAGTGTTTATTTTCAAAATCAGAACAAGAAGCCCAACCCTCAAATTCTCATGTATTAGAATCTGTTCCTCCTACCCAATTCTAAATTTGAAAATATTAAATCCTTTTATTTTACTAATAATGAAGCAATATACCATACAACATTAGTTATAACAGCTTCATCATAAACCAAAATATTTTCAGTTCAGCTTGTAATCTAATGCAAACATTGCACTGAAAAGATTGTTTTGAAATGTTTTGATAACAAAGACAGAAAGTTGAAATGATTTATTGAGACACTTTCTAGTTACTAGTGACACTCTCCCATTTCACCCTGATTCATTTCCTGGTGAAAAAGCTCTTCCATACACGTTTTCCAAAGCGTGTCTACTCGCTGTATGTTTGTCTGAGTTACATGGGTAACCACTACAGAAATGCAAGATAAAACAAAAGACAAGAAGGCTAATGTAACTTCTGTAAATGGATTGATTAGTTACTGAATATGCTGTAAATTCCACATACTGGCTTATGTTACTAAAGTGAGTGGCAGCACATCAGAGTCAGGGTACTAGGCATGGAGACACTAGCGACTTGCTAATAATAGTAAGCAGGTATTCTTCACACTGCATAACTTGAAATATCCTCAGTTCACATTCTTTTATGTAATGAGGCAGGATTCTGAAGCAAAAACTGCTAGATGACTACATTTTTTTAAGGATTGAACATAGCATTTTTAGTAAGTTATCCATAACAAAAGTTATTCATTCCAAAATAGGTAAACTAGCAATTTAACTTCCTTTAAATATTTCTTAGCATTATCTGACACAGATAATGTGAAAAGTGAAGTGTTAAGGTCATAAGTTCACAGTAGAGACTAAAGAGAGCTTCTTTGGAGCAAGCCCAGAGGAAGGCCACAAAATTGATAAGAGGGCTGGGACATCTCCCCTATGAGGACAGGCTGAGGGAGTTGGGGCTGTTCAGCCTGGAGAAGAGAAGACTGCGTGGAGACCTCATAGCAACTTTTCAATATCTGAAGAGGCTACAAGGGAGCCAGAGAGGGACTCTCTGTTAGGAACTGCAATGATAGGACGAGGGGTAATGGATTCAAACTGAAGGAGGGGAAGTTTAGGTTAGATATTAGAAAAGGTTTTTTTACTATAAGGGTGATGAGACATTGAAACAGGTTGCCCAGGGTCGTGGTGGCTTCCCCGACCCTGGCTGTGTTCAAGACCAGGCTGGATGAGGCCTTGAGCAACCTTATCTAGTGGGAGCTGTCCCTTTCTAGTGGGGGCTGTCCCTGCCCATGGCGGGGAGAGTTGGGACTAGATGATCTGTAAGGTCCATTCCAAGCCTTAAATACTATGATTCTATGATTAATCTATTAAACCAAAAGATGATAATCAACAGTCTTACAAAAGAAAGAAAGGCAGGATTACTGCACACACACAAAAAAAGTAGACAAGCACAGGCTCAGATCACACCCATGTTCACTCACAGGAATGACCTGAGCACGTGTGAATGAAAACAGAGTCAAACAGGCTCTCTCTCTCATACTCAGTTATTCACAAGCCAAAGAGTTTGCAGCATCAGGAACCTTCCAATACCTAAAAGATACCTACAAGAAAGCCAGAGAGGAACTTTTTACCAGCGCATGTAGTGATAGGACAAGGGGAAATGGGTTTAAACTGAGAGAGGGTAGATTTAGATTAGATGTTAGGAAGGAATTCATCACTGTGAGGGTGGTGAGAATCTAAAATAGGTTGCCCAGAGAAATTGTGAATGTCCCATTCCTGACAGTGATCAAGGCCAGGGTGGATGGGGCTTTGAGCAGCCTGGTCTAGTGAAAGGCAACCCTGCCCATAGCAGAGGGGTTGAAACTAGATGATCTTTAAGGTCCCTTCCAACCCAAGCCATTCTATGATTCTGTAAAAGTAACGGTAACTTGGGAGCATTGTGGTCACCCTTAATGGTTAAGGGAACAGTGGAGAAACCAATGTTTACAAAACAAGAGTGTGACTCTGGTTTAGTTCATAAGAAGAACAAAAAGTTAAGGTAGTAAGGATGTCAGAGACAGGATTTAAACCAGCATTTGTAGAGGTCAGCTCTTGGAGAGGAAAGTCTTATTTGGAGATACCAAAATAGAGAAGATGGTTTGGATACAGTCATCTAGAGAGTGAAAGCTGAAATCCCAAGGGCAGGATCTGCATAGCATAGGTGAGAAGAACCAATGAGGCAAAACCTGAAGCTACACATGACAAACCAGGATGATGCAATGCCTTGAAAATCACAGGTTGTTTGTTTAGTCCCACCAATGCTAACACACATAATCATCATACTTGTACACAGCAACAACTTACATAACCTACATGCACTCGCACATGCAGATTGCCAGAGGAAATCTGATAGGCTATTGCAAGGGCACTACAGAGACCTGCACCAAGCCATTATGCTGTAAAGTCTAAGTTCAATGCAACAAGCTTCATACAGAACTGCATTTGCATTCACTTTTATGTAGCAGATGACATCACACAGAAGTTAAGACTTTCTAACTATTAATAGATAGCACTAATTGCAGTACGTCTCAGGACCCTAAAGCTATTTGCTTTCAAATTGCCAAGGCTGACTCCATTAAAGGCAGGAAATTACATTAGGTTTCCCCCCTCCTAACTCCCAAAAAATAAAAAAATAATTGTAGTTCTGGCATGACTCAAAGATGGAGATAAATAGTTTAAATAAATACACAGTTTGTTGGCAACAACATGAAACTGTATATGCATATAAATGCCATGTGCATTATATTATGTTCACTTGCACTTATGGGCTGAGATATGTTCATGCCAGAAACCTGGATACAACCCTCATCTGGTCTGGAAAATTGGCTTTGCTTCAAGCTGAATTGTTAGGCAGACAAGTACACATGCAAAGCTCAGAACTGACACAAACTCCACAAGGGCAGGTTGCATTTGGATCCAACATTTTCATTTGTGGCTCTGGTCTTCTGAGTTTCATTTTCAGTGGGACACAGTTAGCATTTTGTCACAAATCTTTATATTCACTAACCTGTCTGTGCAGGAAAATGAACTTATGGGGGTCCCCATCTGCCCAAGGAGGAAGCTGCACATCTCCCAGCACTGTTCCATCCTGCATGCAGCCTGCAGGAATTACAAAGGGAGAATCAAAAACAGGAGTCACACACATCACAAACAGGAACAATTTTTGTTTCAGGTTCATCAAATTTAGCGCCACAGAATACTTAAGAACCAGAGTTCTGGGATTTCTGACCCCTAATAAAGCACTGAGATGATGTTCTAGTACCTGTCACTAATGCAGTAAAAATATGCATGTCCTCAGCACAAACCATTTTAGCACAGACTGCAAATGCAGGTAAGACAAACTTGTTTGCACAACGTTCTTTTTATACATAATCCTGTAGGCCTAACTGCCAAATATTCCTACTAAAGCAGCCACTGGGAGGGATTTTGTCCTTTGCAACCTGATTCCTTTCAGAAGGTTAGCATATGTTCTTAAATCAGAGCACAGTGTTGCGCAACTGGATGAATTAAAATCTAAATTGAGGTTCAGGTCTGGGACTGCAAGTTTCCTTACAGTGTAGCAGTGAACAGATTAGGGTTCTTGGCTTTGCCTATTGTAAAGTCTTCCTCTATATTTGGCAAGATTTTCTCTACTGGCAAAATTTGTATGTCCTTTCATGTTCCTCCACTTAACTCCACTCAGGTCCATCTCTGAATTTGGGTTTCAGCCAGGATTTGTTTCTTGGCCTCCTCTCAGGATTAAACTACCCCAATTTTTTCTTACCTTTTAACAATCTCCTAACATCTTTTTTTTTTCCTATTCTGCTCATTTTTTAGCATATCTTATTTCACTGACATCTTAAATACAATTATAGCTAGATCTCAATACCATGGGTTAAGTTGACTTCACTGTCACCAATTTAGGATGATTCTTAAGGTATTTTTCCTCTGCCTTAATTGTTAATCAACCTGTGTCTACTACAAAAAGCATGGAGTGAATGTCCTGCCTATTTCTAAACACTATTTCTCTGAATTCTTTCTGACCCTTCATCACTGATGCAGAAAGGTCTAGAGACAATGTACATTCAAAGGCAATTGGGATGCTGCTTGAGACCAGGGAAATATATCAGGTTCATGTGGCTTGTGCAAAACTTTTCAAGATGATAGTGAGGCGATTTGGAAACTTTAATCACCTTGTGATCTCACAAGATTAAAATCCCCTACCTTTCACCAGCACCATTTAACAACTGACCCAGCTCCAAAAGTCAAATTAATATATTTTTCATAGCCACATAGATGTGATGATGCAGATCAAATTTGAAAAAGCAGATAACTAGATTGGTTATACCTAAATCAAATTTTTGTCTGATAAAATGTGTAATTCCTTTGCACAGTAACTAATAGCTAGTATTAGCTCCTTTCTGAGATGGAAACTCCCATTTGTTCTTCTGACATCATTCAGATATCAGAAGCTTATATTATTGTAGCCTTTTAATAAAAATTGATCTCTTATTGCTAGGAAGTCTCAACAGTCTGCATAGTCTGGGGATCAGCTCTCAACACATGATCTGGATCTTTTCCTTTGGCAGGATGCTGGGAGGAGCACTTATGTCCCTTCTAGAACTTACCAAGTTCAAAATGATTTGCATTGGTTAGGAACTCTGGCAAGTAGAAGAATTCAGGGATGAGTTCCCTGACATCACTCATGTTGTCCCTTGATGCTGACTCCCACGTGCTCTTGACACTGTGAAACATCCTGTCTGCAACATCAAAGCTCCCACCCTGTTGAATGGAGACAGACAAAAAGGCTTGAGTGTGACTATTCTGTTAAATGAAAAGCAGATACAGAATCTTAGCCAACTGACAGGTTTGATAAGGTGATGTCTCAAGATCTGCCCCATCTCTATTTACTGTGATCTTATCTTAGGGGCTTAGTCCTGATCTGTTGGCTGAGAAGACCATAAAGATTGGAGTCTTTCTTAGCACAGCCTGTAATAACATAGGAACTATCATAGGCAGCTTGAGAATATCAGCATACCCAATACTTCTGAAAGTAATTAATTCCTTTCATCCCAAAGTGATTTACCAGCAGTGGACACAGCTTCAGTGTTTTCATTTTGGTTGTGACCCAAACAGTCATGAACAATCTTACGTGCAATTCTCCTGTGAAAAAACCTTTGGAGAAGGAAAGGCTACCACTGGAGTACACTCATCAGATCCAGGCAAACAGGAAAGGCCCAGTGGGCAGGAGTATGCAGGGACTGGTCATTCATTATAGGAAGAAGAGAGGGGAAGAGAAGAAGAATGTCTGGGACTCAAGCTGAATTTGTATGTAAGGAAGGAGAAAGGAGAAACAAACTACCTCACATCTTGAGGGCATTTGAACATGTTTAATTTAATGAGAGTCAGTCACTAGACAAAAGCAGCCTTAGTAGCCCAGGACATGATTCTGAATTAAGGCCTCAAGAGGAAAGGAAAAAAAAAGGGTCACTCAGTGAAGGAAGGATATATGCCTATATGCCTTACAGTGGAACTGTATTTTCTACAGACTTTCTAATGGGACTTCAGATACCGTATGAATTTGTGAAAATCCAGGTTCACCTTTACATATGGACCCCTATACTGAGCATGAAAGGATTTATTTTAACATAAAATTTCTGTAATAATGGAAATAACCAAATAGAAATCAGGTTTTGGAGATCATCTGAATGAGTTTGTCAGAAATATCAAACTGTTTCAGAAGAAAACTGACTTTTTAACTGTATTAAAGTGACAGAACCAAATTGCTTCTCAATACCTACTTCAGGTGCTGGCAGTAGAGCTCCCAGGCTAATATAGATATTGCTCATTGGGGTTAACTAATTTGGATTATATGTCATGGAACATAACACTGCACCCCCCCACCAGGGCTCATGAGAGACTGTCAGAGATGGAACAAGTATCTTTAAACAGTTCTGCAGTACAGTGAAAATGTATGAATGATCACTCATCCTCAGCCATTCAATCCTCAAAGTTGCTTCACTAGGCAAAAAGAGTAAACCCGTGGGATTGCAGAATGAAGACACTAAAACACAGATGTGGTGCAAGAGTCAATCTATTAATGCATATGAGATGCAGTCAGGTTCTGTCCATGGCTGACCTCTTGGGAAAACCTTTGGTTAGTTTTCTCTCTGCCTGTTGACTTGCAGGTGTCAGACGAGGAGGATGTTGCACTTCTGCACAGTAACAGTCAGATAAAGTTTTGACTTGAAGTTGATCAAATAGGAAAACAGCATTTAAGCACCCTCATGCTGTAAGGATGGGATCCCACTGCCATGGAACAGATGAACCCTGAGTAGCAGTTTCCATATTGGTTTCAGATGGAAGCACCACTGCCCTTTTGGCTCCCATGAATACTTGCATAGTTAGGTTGCAACTCTTTTGGATCTACAAGCTCTGTTTAGTCTGGGAACTGCAAATCAAGAAGTAACTTGCATACATTTTGTTAGGGAGAAAATACCCTCAAGGATGAGCTATGAAAAGACAGAAGTCAATAAATCCCATGTGCTGAAGTCACAATCCTAGCTTGTCTTTTGAGATACTCTCATGCCAAAAACCAACACATAATCCAGATGGAAAGACCATTTTCCCCATTTCCCCTGAGGTGAACTCTGACCAGGCTTCTGGTCCAGCCTCATCTCTAAATGACAGCATAGTTCTGCTTTAGCTTCTTGTCCTTCTTCCTTTTACCACTGACAATTGTGAAGCCTTTCCACACCCACTCAAGGGACAGAGCGAAAACGTGGCTAATCACATGAGCAAGCCTATCTGGAGTTAATCTGATGCACAAGGTCATCTTGTTCTTGATCATTATTAGGCAGGGACCCTTGGAGTCAAATTCAAATTGAAATTAAAACAGAGTAGAAGGAGGACTATAAATAAATCAACAGCTAACAAGTATCTCATTGAAGCATATTAAAGGGCTTTGTATATTTAATCTGCACACAGTGTGCTGTGTCTGGTGGTGATTGATGCTTTTTCATCTTTTTTTGCAGCTTTTATGAGAGCTGGTGGTAATCTCCTGAGAAACAATATGATTTGTAATAAAAAGATTACCTGTATTAAATAAAAATAATATATACATAGGAAATGCTGTTAGCGCGACAAATCTGGTTAAAGATATTACCACCACGAAAAAATGTGATTTTTTCCCTAGCTGTCTAATTCATTTTAGGGAAAAGTAATATCTTTAAAACTTAAGCCTGTATTATTTATAAAGGAAGCAATAACTGATTTTCCCATTTCCTATATTAATAAATTTATTTGCATATATTTATATCAGAATTAATGAGTTTTCTCTCTTCATGAATGCAAAAACTGCACTGAAAGGGAAAAAGAGAATCAAGAATTGCTTTATGCTTTTAGATTGCAAGACAACATAAACTCCTATGACTTTTCTACAGCTAGACACAATAAGTCTCTGTTTCCTTTCCTTTCAGTAGAGGCCTTACACTGTCATGAGAAACACTGGAAAAATATGCTTTTTAAAACTACAGTTCAGCAGAGTATATACAGAGCAACTAGGAAAAGTGATCTCTAGAGAGAAGTTTGAATTTCACACATTTATAAAACTAAGCATCACCTTGGTGGTGCTTTAAACCCAAAGACCTCACAGTGTTTCTAAGAGCTGCTTATGAAGGTGCAAAGACTTATCCACACGCCCAAAGATGCTGAGAAGTTATTACCTGTAGATAGTGCTTAAATGACTGCTCAAGAGTCAGCAACACAATGAGGAGTAAGAACCCTATTCTCTGTAAGTACTTTTGGGAGGTAAACGTCAGGAAAGGTCAATCTGATAGCTGAACTGCAACAGTGGGTAAGAACAAAAGGGGCTAAAAAGCTGAGTTGATCTAAAGCAAGTCTCACTAATTATTGAGGGCATGGGGTCCTAGGATGCCTTTTCAACAAAGACTCTAAACACAGAAACCTTTACTGCTTTTTTTGCAGTGCTGAGACCAATTCCTGAAAGCAATTCCAGGAGGTACTTGATCAAGGTGAAGTGGAAGGTGCCAGCAAAAATCTGTTTGATGAGCCAGCTTTTCATCTATTCCAGTACAAAATGCAAAGCACAAAGTTTTCTCCAGAACCAGATCTCGATGCACTTAAAAAAATGTGAAATAATAAGGTTTCTCCTGTACAGTCCCCTTAGTAAAGGCAATGTTTCCTCACTGCCTTCTTCTGTGGTCAAGTGCAACCAGTTATTTGACTTGAGACACAAGATGTTATGCCAACATCAATTTTTCACGAGGGGTGCACTCAAATTGTTGCATTTCCTTGTCATGCATTCAGACTGTCCCTTTGCAGCTACAAACATAGCTTTTACACTTTTTAAGATGCTGAGAAGCTTTCACAGCTCCCAAACTCAGCATCCTTCCAAGGTCTTAAGTCTGGGAGTACTCTTTGTGCAACTTGCTCTTGACTTGATCATACAGTTCTCAGGTGTGCTGCATCTCACAACTAGCAATTTCTAAGCCACTGTAGGACCAGTCACCTGGGGGAACCAACAGCAGTGAGCTCAGCTGAACATGCAGCAACATAAAAGCAAAAGAATGAGAATAGAAGAAGTTCAAGTTTCAGTGGATCCACATCCAGACAAAATTTTGAGTGCTTCAGATCTCAGCAGCCTTTGAAGATAACTATTGTCACAAAAATGCTAGTTACCTGCTAATCACACATAAACACAGCCACAAAGCATTTACTCAGACTGTGAACTCGTTATGCATGAAAAGTGTGCCAGAGATACAGCAGTCTTTGTTGTTTACAACAAGAAATAACTGCTCCACAGTCATTCATGACTGCAGCTAACATATGGCTCACAGAGTGTGATGGTAACCATTGCCTCAGGTGGTTCACTAACCCATCAGCTACTGCTGGTAACAGCCGATATCATAGGGCTTATTACTTAATTAGCACAGCACTTTATTTGTATTAGTTCATAAAAGAAAAGAAAAAAAAAAAAAAAGAAAGAAAAAAAGACCAGTAGAACAGCAAAGCACTTGAAAAGCTGCAGGAGACATGGCCACCCCTCACCATCCATACAGCAGTCTGAGTGTGGAATATTCTGACATAGCTATCTCCCTCATATTTCTCCATAAGGATAGGCAGATTTCAGCAAGACACCCCTTAAAAAATACACTTTTGAGGGCTTGTCCTCCTGCTAGATCCTGCTATAACACAACATATATTGCAGAAATAAGGGTAACAACTCTCTGCTACAGCCCAAGTGTCTTTGCTTGTGTATCACCAGCTGCCTGCTGAAGAGGGCAATCAGGAAATTTGGTGCCCCTGTATGCTGAACAGCTGGGAAAGGTAAACACAAAGTTCAGAGCTTGTGGCACTGTAAAACAGTGCCAAGTTCAGGCAAAATATTCCTTCTGGAGCGCTGGATGTAGTCTCAACCCACTTCTTCAGGAAGTTGATCCCATGATCCCTATATTTTCCTACCTACCAGAACCTGTGTGTCCTCATATGGCCCAGGAATGTTATTTATGCCACCACAGCCAACCCCAAGTACTTTCCTGTAGCCACATTACTGTGCAGGCACTTGGGCTTAGAATACCTACCGTGAAAGTCTCATCTGCCCCAAAGTCAGAAACTTATGTTCAGACAGGTAACAAAATATTGTCTAGGTGTTCACAAGCCTCAGCTCTCACAAAGCTGAATAATCCTTCTCCCTCACATCAATCACACTCAGATTAAGATGTTGTCACTGAATTCAACACACAGAGCCTTCAGTAAGCCCAGAGTCCACACAGAGCATACAGAAAATGTCAAAAGAATTAACCCCCCTTCATTACACAGCCACTGTAATGTGGTTCATAACGAGGTGTAGGAAGGCAGTTACCTTACCTGCAGAGCACAGAAGGTCTGGGTAAATGGCTCCATTCGGACCAGGTAAGATGCCACTATAATTGCTGAAGAATAGTGAGTACAGTAATGGCACTGGGCTGACAGGTCTCCTGGAAATTGCACACAAATCAGATTCCAGTGCAAAATACCATCACTTCAAGCCCAAAGCATCCAATTACCACAGCACAACTAAAATCGGGAACAGAGTTTTTTTATGCAGATGTGTTCAAAGGTCTGTGAGGAAAAGCACACCTTGCATATTTGCATCAAATGTGCACAGTTATTACTCAAGTATGTTCTTTTTTTGCCTTTCACATTTAATTTTCTGAAGAATAAGGCCTTTAACTTTCCAGACCATCCTTTTCCTCAATAGTACCCAGAAAAGGCTTGATCTCCAAAGGTCAACAGCCTCAACATTCTGTTTCTTTTCTTTAAAGTAGCTGTTAGCTTAGCTGTATGCACCAGTCTTCTAAACATGCAGCTGAGCTAACAAACATGACTAATGTGCCCAGCTTAGCTAATAGCATAGTCTTTTCCAGGAAACATTGCTTTTTACTGTAGCATCTCTTCCTGCAAAAGGGAAGAGAACAGAATGCAGCAGTACAAAGCATGTAAGGCAGTACTTGCAGGAGTCACTTCTCTTTGAATCCCCAACCAGTTTGTATAGAGAAGTGAGAGGGGCTCTCCTTGGTATGGTGTTTTCCTTAGCCACAGCTCTCCTGAGCTTTTGGGTGTTCTGAGGGGACTCAAGCTTCGGCTGTCTGTTAGTCTCCTAAAACACTCACCATCACTCTTTTCCACTTCACTGAAACGCTGGATGAACTTGTGTTTTCTCTCCACAGTCTGTGCTCCCATGGGCTTTGACAGGTCCCGAAATGTATGAGGATTCATAAGGTTTAGAGTCTGAAAAGAAAATCCAGCAAAGATGAAGATTTTTAGATCCCTGAGACTTAGACATCATGACTATCTCAGTGACACTGGATAGTGGCAAGGCTGTGATGCAAGTTTCACACATACAAGGTCACAAGTTTACCCAACCCCAGAATTTCACAAATAAAGGATCTGTCAGATTTCAAATTGCTCTCAAGGCTTTTCTGTTCAGACCTCCTTCTCAGGGGTCCCAGAAGCCCATCCAGGCTTATCTGCTGAGTTGATGCAGCCTGCCCTTAACTAGGTTTGTATTTAACAGGTGTTCATCCACCTTTGTGAGACAGAACATGATCCTCAGCACATTGATTTGAAGATAAGGCTAATCTATATAGAACCAGTACAGTTCCAATCAACTATCTGAAATTTTAAATCTTGGTCTAGATTCTTCTGCTTCAAAGGCATCATTGAACAAACCTTGGTGCAGTTGCTATCATAGAAAGTACAGAATGCTGTGGCAAGCACTGACCTCAGAGTGATAGTCAGCAAGGACCCATGGAAACACAGGATACTGCATGTAATCATTGTAGCTACGGCCAGCCAATGTGTTTAGGTACATGAGGTAATCAAAGTTGCTGATTTCCCTCTTCTGTCAGGGAAAGGAAACAAGCATTAAAATCTCCAGACTCCAACCGTGAAAACCATGCCTCAAAGGCATCTTGAGCCAAGTGCTTCCCAGGACCACCAGGACAAGAATTGTAGTGTAATCAATCATCCTTTGCCATTCAGATCAGCAAAATATCTCTTATGTAACAGACCATTCAACAGAACCAGTCTTCATTCTGGCTCTTCTTCAGACTGGCCATTTGCATTTGTCTATAACCACACAGTGCTTTTATGCTGTATTTGCATAACAGAGCACTTTTCCCCAATTGAAAAGTGATCCAAATGCATGCAGTCTGGATATTGGAAAACCCTGAACAACTGCCTGTACACAAAGGGCTGTGCAAAGTGCTAGATATAAACAAGAAGGAATGGATTCCTTCATGTGTCTCGGGTTGCCAAGATCAGGGCTTCAGGAAAGTAAACACCTTTCCCAGCTCAGAAGAGCATCTGGGAAAATGAGAGGTGCATTGATTTAGATGTACAGATGATCTGTGAACAGGCATTCAACCAGGTGGCTCTCTTTGGTCTTCGTTTAAAAACATGCACAAAATCACATTTAAATCTGCCAGGCAGATGTATCAATGCACAAGAAGCAAAACCTCTGCAATAATGAGATGTAAATACTGTGCTCTTCTTGCCAACAACCTCACCTCCAGCAGTGAAAGAACAACTTAGGTCTTGAAGTACATGCACTGTGTATACATATCTGTGTTTGGACTTACAGACAAATGCTGAAATTCTTCAATTCATCATGCACAGCCAAGATTTATCTTACCTGCCATTTCTGGAGCATTGTCTTTTCCCCTCCTGGGTGTTTCCTATATGAAACAACATTTGACTGAAATAGGCTGCTTCAGAACAGTAAGAAAAAGTTAACATATTATATCTGTGCTTTCTGTGCCCCTTGCTCTCATCCCCCAGAAATGAGAGAACACCAACACTAGAAGAATGTTGAGGTTTCATCATTGACCAAATATTTCCAAAATCAGAGTGTCATTGATTAGGTTAGTGCTGCACAGTACAAATTTCATTACTGCTTTCATTAGGAAGGCTTTGACTGATAAGCAGGGGTGGCCTAGCTTCAGATGGCTGATGAATTTATCACTGACAGTTAGTCTTCCTTTGACATACTGACTCTCCCTAAGCTACTTGCCAGTCTGCTTCTGAATGAAGTGCAAATTAAAAGTATGATCTTTAATAAAAACAGAAAAAAAAGAAGAAAGTAGGGTTGTGGTGCCAAGGAAGGGTTCTGTTTGCCTTAAGGTATGACTGCAAACTGCAGTGGTGATGCCACATGGTAAGTTGCAGGAATTCAGAAGCTGACTCACAGGCAGAGAAGACATCCGTGCAGCAGAGGCAGAAGGACAGTTGGGGACAGCAACTTACTCAGCTGTTCTGAGTTAAGCCACAGTGCTAATCAGTCTGTGTTCCCAGTCTCAAGCCATTGTAGAGCTAAACTGCTAGTGACAGGTACCATTAAGGCTGTCTGTTTTATTCTGAAGCCTTACTCTCAAAAGCTTTTGCTTTTCTGAAGCATTCAGAAAATACTGGTTTGAAAACAGAAGCCTCTTGGTCTCCATATCAAACATATTGTTGCACAAAGCACTTTGAAACTAATGTAGTTCTTAAAAAGTGGTTTGTCATTTTATTATTTTCTAAAAGTAATAGAGTAAATATGTCCTCTCCACTTTTTGTTCTCTAAATGCAACTTTTTATTAAAGCTTTAAATTATAAAAACCCAAACCAGATGAACTGAAGGAAGATTCTAAACAGGGGAATTCACTTGAAAATAAGAAAGGGTCAAAGGTTCTGAGGAAACAGTAGTCATTTCAACTGCACTGAACCAGAAGGTATGTCAGTATCTGAAAGCCATGGACTTGCTCTTGTCATTTCCTAGAGTCCAAACTGGAACAAGTGACAGCTTCTGGATTATCATGGTCTAACCACAGTTGGCAACAAAGCCCCACAACAGCCACTCACTCTCACTGCACAGGGATGGGGGAATCGGTAGAGTAAAAGTCAGAAAACTTGTGGGTTAAGATAGTTTAACAGATAAAGAAAAAGCTGTGCAAAAGCAAAGCAAAAGAAGGAATTAATTCATTACTTCCCACTGGCAGGCAAGTGTTGAGCCATCTCTTGGGAAGGACTCCATCATATATGACAGTGGCATATGAAGACAAACACCATCACTCCAAATCACTTGGAATGTCCCTGCCTCCTTCTTCTTCCCCCAGCTTTATATGCAGAGTATGACAGTATGTATAGAACATCCCTTTGGCCAGTTGGGATCACCTGTCCTGGCTGTGTTCCCTCCCAGCTTCTTGTGCACTCCAAGCCTCCTCACTGGTGGGACAGTGTGAGGAGTAGAAAAAGCCTTGACTCTGTGTAAGAGCTGCTCAGCTCTTACATCTTACATCTTACATGCTCGGCTAAAACATTACTGAGTTAACAACACTGTTTACAGCACAAATCCAAATGCAATTTTCTTCTACAATGAAGAAAATTAACTGTAGCCCAGCCAAAATCAGTACATGGATTAAAGAAACTTTTGATCTGCCAAAGTAAACAGTTACTGACATATGATATGACACCAGTGGTAAGAGGCTTTTCCCTTTGAGTGTGAAACTCTAAACGAATCCTAAGGTGCCAGCTCAGAGTCAGGACTATTAACTTCACAAAGTGTAAGGAAATCAGTTCACCCGTAGATTATAAAACATCTACATGAATAACTAGCTTCTATTTTGCACTCTCGTGCTCTGTATTGAATCACACTAGAAATCCACAAAGCAAGGTTTAAAGGAGATTCAAAATCTAAATAAAACCTCAGAATGGTCTATGATTATTACAGTCTTATTGAATTTGCAGTAGTAAATTCTTGTAAACCACTTCTTGTGCTTATGAATCATTATTTTACTGTCTATTCAATCCTGGATCAGTTAATAGTGTATGTAAAGGAAAGACACTATGGTTTACTCAACATGTTATTCTTTTCTTAGACAATCTCTTCAGAGAAAAGTGTGTATGTGAGAGAAGGATTTTGCATGAACAAACATGAAACCCAGGATGAATTCTAGCTCATGGTCTACAATTCCCAAGCTTTGTTTAGTTCTCCTGCTAAGTATATTAAGCCTAACAATGATAGGCTATGTTTATGGAAACCAGGCAACAGGAAAAGGTGTAGCTCATATCCAACACAGAAAAATAAGATCTTCACTCTTTGTTAAAAAAAAATAAGTTAATTATATGATGGTCTAATTTGTGCAATGTAAATCAGAAGAAATTCCATTGACTAGAGTTATGGTGGTTTTCACCCCCAGTTTGAGCAACACATGGCTCAAGAATGTGGGAATTCTGAAGTACAAAACAGGCATCATGAGCACGCAGCCCTCTCACACTACATGTAGACTTCACAGAGCTTTGCCCCAGAGCCTTTGTGAGGCCTCCAAGAGGCATTTGGAACTCAGAGAGAGTATCTCAAAGAGATGGAACAGGATCAGGATTCCTGGCATTAGTTGAAGTGTGGTTGGATTAGGGTGTTTGTCACAGAGGGATCAGGTTAGGTTCTTCTCTTTCCACAGGGGCAGACTCACTCACTAAAGCTGCCCATGTTTATTTTGGATTTCTAGATGAGATTGAAAGCAGGGGTGAGCATTATAAAATGCTATACACAAGGCTAAACTGGGGCAGTCAATGTCTATGTTATGCAAATATACATATGTTGACTTGTGGGTGCCATGACCCTTCAGTGAAACACTTGCTCTGCTTGCCACAAGCCCTAAACAGCGAATAAGGACTCTTCTAGGGTCAAAATAATCCTCTCTGCTGACTTTGAAAGCCACTATATAACTCAAAGAGGTTGACAAGTTCACCATGTCATGAAAACAAGCAAGGCTAAATGTAGTCACTCCCCTGAAAAATCCATCCTTCTGGGTCTTGGAGGACAAGGCAGGATGCTCCCTCCATGCCCCCAGAGATCTGGGATTCTGCATTCTCCTTTGTTGACTCAGGGGCTCAGAATACAAACTGCATCACAGGCAGCTCAAGACTATTCCTACCTTCTCCTTGATAATCAATCAGCATTTCTCCAGCCAACACCTCTCTAGACAGCACAGCAAAAGCTCAAAGTAGATCAATGTCAGCTATCCAACTGCAGTAAGTGCATTTTAAAATAAATAAATAATCAAAGGCTGGTTTGTAAAAGAAACAGAAGTGCTTTATAAATGTAAATAACTAAACTTCCAGAGGGGGTGAAATTATATGAAGTCAAGAGGAGTACCTATGTATCTATCTATCTATATCTTAATTTATAAGGTATTTGTAGGGCACCAGCCGTGGCCGAATCTAATCATGATGTGTGCTAATGATGATCCACCTTTGGCTACACTATACTTAAGTGATTTATTAATCCCTTTTCCATTAACATCAGACTATGATCTCACTCTTGTGATAGCCAGTGCTCTCCATTTGCTAGAGACAGGTGGACCTCAACCCATTTGGAGATTCATTGCAGATGAGATAATCTCAAAGGATAAGATTTTTCCCCACTGAAATTGATACTAAAATTCCAATAAACTTAATAGGTTCTTAGACTTCACAAAGCTGCTTTTATTTTCTTTTTGTCTTTCATCCTCCAGACTCCTCAAAGTCAGCAAAACAATTCCAAGGCTCTCCTAAAATCACTTTTATTAAAGAATATTTGCAATTACCAAAAATATTGTAAGGAAAATCCCTTTCCTGGTAAGCCACAACTTAGGTCCAAGTCCTACTATTAAAAAAGGAAAGAAGGCTTCAAAAGGAATACCAGCTTACCCTGTGAAACCATCAAGTCTCTCTCAAACTCAGAAAAGTGTTAGGTCAGATTAGTTTAGCATAAAGGTACAGCATCCTCCTTGTTTGACTGTACCAGTCCACCTTCTGAGTATGCTTAATCTGTGCTCAAAGAATAGGGATGTAACATGAAATTTATAAACAAGCATCGTAGTCAAGTAGAGCTCCTTGAAGTAGGATGTCTTGAAGGGGCTAGGGAGGGAGAAAGGAACCTCCCTCATTTACAGAACACTGTCTGCACCATGTGCATTCACAGTGCTTAAACCAAAGGGATAACATTTCCACTGTGGAAATGCTGCACTCAGGCACATTTGAAGAAACATATGGAGTAAATTCAGTTAATTTGTTGAGGTGAGCAGAATGCAATCTCCAACCCTGGAATCAGATAAGCACATCAAGATTATCAGCTTCTTTATGCCAATAATATCCTGGACCCATTATCAGCAAGAGAGAAGTCTCAATGTTGCATCTCCCGTGAATAATACCTACACAAACCATACAGCTACTTCTCTTCCACAGTTCTTTTTTCCAGACACTATTTTGGAATTATTACAATAATCAGTTACTAAGAGCTTGGCAACATCAGCCATAGAGACAAATTTCAGTAAATTCACATGTTACAGAGGGAATTTGTTATACCAACTGCACTTTTGAAGGGTCACAGATAGATGAATATAAATTGTAGGTCACATCCTCTCTGCTGCACCACTGAATGAGCCTTCCCTCCTGTGTTCATATCTATCCAATTCAGCACATGCTAAGGATGGTATCACAAATGCTGTGAGTTTTAACACACACACACACACACACACACACACACACACACACAAGTATCTCATACTGTACTACAGCCAAGTAAAATGAAATAGCCACATGACTAAAATGGACAGTTAAGGCAATGCTAGAAGCTGACTAACAGCTTCTAAAGAGCTCCAGATGCTTTTTGTTTCCGTGTGATTTGAAATCTAGCATTTCCACAGGCACTGAATGC